ATATTTAATATGAGAAAAATTATCTTAGTCATCACATACACTTAGGCGTGTACATGAAAAGCAGGAGTTTAAAGTTGAGCAGTAAAATCTCTATTAAAATAACTGAATCATGCAGTGTTGTGTGAGAGAGATGATGCGTATCGGCTTTACATATAAAGCAGTAGGTATAAAGTTGCTGTCTCCAGATCAACAATAATATCATGAAAAGATTAAAATCTTTGACAGGTTTTCTTAGTAAAATCTTATATACACAATCAATTTCTATTTAAAAATATACTTGATAAGTTTGATGTTATTTTTCAATATTATCAGTAAAAATCGTTTGAACCTATTTCCTATAGGAGATAAGTTTTCTTTATACGATATCAAATATGCGCCAGACAATTTATGACGATAGAATAAAATTTTGCTATACTTTTAACTTTTGCAGGTTTTAAAATAAACTATTATCTTTAAATAACTCTTGTAATTAAAAAAAACTTAGCAATAACAGCCTTCGACTCAAACACTATGTATTAAATTATTCAATACAGGTTTGACAAATACAATGAAAGCCAACTCCGGCCGTCTCAAGTAATCATTGTGGTTAGTTCTCGTTAATTAGCAAAAAAATATTCAAAATATTTCATCATCAGCCTATCACAGACCACTGCTGAGCAAAGGCCTCACGTGGAGAAGTTTTAAGCATTAATCACCACGCTTGCCCAAGACGGGTTGGTGATTTCAAACTTATAATTTAAAATTATTAGTTCAGGTGGTATGTAAATACTCTTAGAAAGTACATATAATTCGAAAAAATCACACGTGTACTTGCCAGGTTTCGAACCCGCACGCTCATGCACGAGAGACGGGCCTTTAACTTTTAGGCCACCACGATCTTTAAATCTTTATCGACCATAAACTAGCTTTACAATAATAGTAGACTTCATATATTATTTTTTTACTGGTTATTTCTAACTACAGACAAAAATTTAAATCGTTACCTACAAATACTTAACCGCCGAAATTTGAAAATTCTTCGCCTTTCTCTGTTCTATTTGATTTAATCCTCCTAGTTCTACATATTGAAAAAGTAGATTTTTATTTCTCTTTGGTTGTTGTGATAGGCAGCTTCGTTTTTCGAGCAATGTAATGCATCCCCGTTTTCATCGATCTGGTTTTCTATCTGACTCATTTGTTGTATCAGATATTCGGCCCTGGTGCGATTTTCCAAATATAAATTAATGCAACATTTCTTAAGGAACATGAATTTTAAATGTTTGGCGTCCTCTCTTTGGTTAAGAAATTTAATCTTTATAATTATTTAAATTTATTGAATTTATATTGCTTTTTAAGTCTAAATTTCTTGGTTTTAAACCCCCTTATTGTTTTTCTACTACATATTTAAAGTTAACTCAAAGATGATGTGTCTTACCATTTTACTCGACTTTTGTGCAATATTTGTAAATATATGTGGGCAAGGGATCTAAATAAATAAATAATTTAATGAAAGTTGTATTATATTTTTTCGTATATTCCTAGTACAATAAGCTATCACACTACTAGAATATGAATTTAAAATTAATTTTGTTATGTATAAGAAATAAAAGTATATTTGTATGGACTGAAATGAAAATAATTAATTTTTAATTTTAAAGTATTTATATGTAATTATAACGTCATTAAATAATTTATATTATATGAAGTATTCTTATAGGTATTTACTTCGATAGAAAATTTTTATGAATCAATCATATCAACTTATTTAATTGGTGTGTTTTCCTCCACAAGTTAGTCTCTCGACAAGCATTTATATCAAATAGGTAAATCATATTCAAGTTATTTATACAAAACTTATTTAAAAGGGTTTTTTTCTGTTATTTTTGTATTAATATTTTTAATAAAACATTAACTGTAAATTCATATAGAAGCGAAAAAGTTACATATTCGTTGCTTATAGTTTATTTCATATTTTACTTTTAATGTTTATTTTGAAAATTGTTCCCGACTCCGTTACTCGAGTCATAATCGTTCAAATAAAATTGTTTATAAACATTTTGTCACTACCTTGGAATAACCAAACAATTTTTTGTAAATCGGTCAGTATAAACTTCATTTTCATAAACTTAGCTGCAAATTACATTCCATGAATTATTATTAAACAATCATTAACTATCATGTTCACAGTAACTTGCAATTTATTTTCTAATATAGACTAAGTCTCACAATCTAAAAAAATAAAAACTTTATTATATTCAAAATTACAATTAATTAAAAGCGTATTTCAAATATTGAACTTTGATAATGACTTAGGTTTGAAAATGGTACGTCTGTTAAATACAAAATGTAGAACTTTTCGGTTCAGCCACAACCGTTGGTCGCTTTTAATGACGCTTTGTAAATTAAATTCAAAGACTCTAAGCGATTTTTCACTTGATTTTTGAATGATAAAATATTAGCCATAATAAAGTTTAAGACACTTTGCGATAAATATAAAACTTATTTAGGTGACTCTGTTTGTATTTCCTTGGGTGAAATTTATTATTGAAATTTCATCCTCTTCCTGACAACCGATTGATCTGAAATTTGATTTATGCCGTTGGTTCTGATGTTTAAAGAACAAGGCAGCATTGTGGATCATGCAGACGTATAGTTAGGCCCGAAACTATTTGAGAAAGGTCAAATGTACGTTTCTCTTAATAGAGGAGATCTTTGGTGGGATATCTCATTGAGGTGTTAGAATGTAAAAAATTAACGGTTGAAAAACTGAAAAGAATTATATAGAATATGATATAAAAACATTACCACAAAGGAAGGATAAATCTTTTGTTTTAAGGTTTAGTCGTAGGACATTACAAAACGGGTATTCTAATCAACCATCCTACAAATCTGACGTTTCCCTACTATTTTTAAGGTGCAATTAATTCATATGTCTAAAATAAGTATATTTGAAAATATAATCTTTCATAAACTTACATTATGTGAACATAGTAATTTTCACAAATTGAGTGAGTTATGAGTTGTTTTATTTCAAAATTGTGACTATGTTAATATTGGTAGCCACTAGCCATGTATTTATTTCATATTTTTCAGCTTTAAAAACATTTATCATGATTGCTTGCAATGAAAACGTTACATAAAAAAATAAGTTTTTTATTTATAATGAGACTTTTTCTTAATTTTGATAATGAAATTAAAGAGTTATGAAAAATTTAGAAGTGAAGGATTTTAAATCTTTTTTTTTTTTAAGACAACATGTTATCTTAGGTTATACATACATACATACGTATACACAACATTTTATACACTATATGTCGAATCCGACTTTTATATTTGGGTCCTACTTACCACCTGTATTTCTGAAAGGAATTTTACAACCAGCTATATTAACACTCAGAACAAATTTAAAAAATCAATGCATAACTGTAACGAGAACTGGGAAAGCGGAAATCCACCCTCGCTAGAACTTCGACTGCACTCTACTTCACGTGATTTTTCAGAGCGATTTTTACTTGAAAGCTATACGACAAGTTAAAAAGTACACTTGCTTTTCTATTCAAAATGAACTTTATGTAACTAAAATATTCATTATTATTTCTGACATAATGGGATTGCTCTTCGATCTTGTTTCTCATGTTTTAAGCACTCGTGGTCCAGATGAGTAAATGTTAATATGCTTTTTATATGTAATTTACCTCAATGGCTCAAAAAATTAGAAAAAATGAAATTAAAGCATACTGTTAATTTTATACAATTACCGTATATTTTATTAAAACCAATAGTTTTTGTCTTCTGAAGATTATATTAATAATTCTAAGAAGAAAATTACGTGCGAAAGGATTATTTGTTAAGCAATACACTCAATAAAAATAAATGCGGTCGAGTCTGTGGTTGGCTTGTATCCAAGTTTATATTAACTGGCCAGAGTAGTATATTTTTTGGTTTTTAAACATAATTAGTAGAATGGCAGATTGAAGTAATTCACACATGTCAAAGATTTGGAAAGCAATAAATAAAACCTACTTAATTTTATTTTTTAGAAATGTATTTTGTCACTGTCAATTGAAATAGTTTTTTTAAGTAGAAATGTCTCTTTATTTTTAAAGTTTTATTTGTTTACTTTTAATATTAGGTTATAAATGATACACATTTTTATTTTATTTATTTAAATTTAATAAAACTAAAAAGTCATGGCACCTAACATTTCTCTTTTATCTTATTACAAAATCTTTACTTTAGTGAACACATCTTACATATACAATTTTCAAATTACATACTTATGCGAAAGATTTTTTGCATAATATTCACAAAACACCTGGTGTTAACTTTTTTGTTGAAGTTATTTATTTATGAAAACGAAATATTCAACACAAAACACATAATTGTGCTCCACAACAGTCCACAAAGACTAGTGAGACATCCACAAAACAATACTTTGTATAGTATTTACAATGTATGAATAAACTTAAAAAGAAATCGTTATTTGTTACAAAAATAGGAATAAGTTAACTATACATTAATTAGTTTAAGATAGACATTAGTGTAACAATTGCATTTCTGGTTTTATGTAATACTCATTGACTCGTAAAAATAATGACTAAGTTTCAAAAATTTTCGTTACGACGTTGATATCCGATTATCGTAAGGCTTTTGATGATTTCTGCCCTGGGACCTGTCAAAAATATGTACAATACAGTAAAAGTTGTTTTCAAATAAATTTAACTTCGGTAAAAAATATACACTATTAAAATAAATCCATTTGCATTTAACTTTACATACCTTGTACTGTGTGAATGTCTTTTAAGCTTGTATGAATTTGATGTTACTTCAACACAGAGTACAATTAGTTTTTTATCACAGGTATACCTGAAATTAAATAGAATTAATAGAAGCATTAAAAACTATTGATATTTTTAAAGTTTATGTAAGGTGACAATACGAGATTTTTTAATGCAATATAAATATTTTAAGCATCAATTAATTATATAGTCATGAAGTTGAGACGTAAATATTCTTTCCACTTACTGTTCTTCTTCTAACAGTCTATGGGTATATAGTAAAGAGGCCGCGCCAACGTTCAGCGGACTGTCACTCGTCCATTCATTGCAATTTGCTCTTGATAGAACTGTACCAAAAGAATTGCTGCCATGCCATACAGCTTTTGAAGGCCTGTGTGTTTGAAAGAAAATGTTGAATAATTATTCCTTACTTCTTCATTTTTATATAAGTATCTTTACGTACCATGTAGTATCAATCTGTACATTCTTTCCGTTAAAGCTGTAAATACTTGATTTTGCAAAGAGTGCTCCCGATCCATTAAACATGCTCGCCCACGAATCGAAAAGAACTTGGCCGTACAAGTTCACTACCGGAACATATCTGTCTCGTTTTCTTTTGACAATAAATCTAAGATCTTCAACCCTATATGACAATAATTGTTTTATAAATAACATATTATACTAACATTATAGATTAGTTAGTCAGATGTAGAACTCACGCATTACCTAGTAGCTAGGAAGGCTGCAAAAGTGCTTTTAAAATTATGTATATAAGCTTGTCGGTAACATTCCTGGTCAGCTGCGTTACGCCCAGTTCTATTGTTTGCCATAAGTATATTGCCTGCATATGCCTGGTTTAATGCGACCAAACGTATCTGGAATTACGAAAAGTGTTACTGAGAATTTGACGGTGAAAGAATACATTTTTATAAGTATAATATAAATTTAAATTTAATTTTTATTTATTAGAATATTTAATAGTTACGTAATTATCTTCAATATTCTCTGTTGTTTCATACGAAGAAGGAGGACTTGGTGGAGTTGATGAATAGTACATTGGCCTCAATGTGGTGCTGGTATGTGATTCCCTTGTTTGCAAGAAAGAACCCATCTATATAAAAAGTAAAAAAAAAAACATCTTGTCAATTAAATTATATCACTGTCATTTAAAAGAACTATTTTCTAGATTATAACTATCGCGAAATTAATTTTTAATTAGATACAAACTCACCACAACGTATTGCCATCCGTTTTCAACCCGCATTAATAATATTTTCTCTTGTAAAATATATGCCAGAGTCCCCAGAGGGGTTTCAGTAGTTCTCTGAAATAAAATGTACGAATTAAATTTAGTAAGTCACATCAACTTTGTCAAAAACAACTTAAACTTAGAATTTTTACGTGCAAAACACTAAATTGATTTGTAATAAAACATTATTTTAAGTTATTTCTTTACCTTAAGAAGACCAGTAGTTGTTTTGAAAATAACAGTGGCCGCTGTATAGAAATCGTCGTCTTCATCTATATGAAAATTTGTGTTGTATTAGAAAATAGAATTCAAATTAGGAAGAATTTTTATTTTTTATAACTTTTAACCACCTGTGCTCTCATGATGAATGTCATTGAATGCAAAAAATGAATTCTTAGTTAGTAATCCGCCAGGTTCTCCTTTAGGGCCGATGATGGAGACCCCAGGAGGACCTGATGGACCCGGAGGTCCCGGAGGTCCAGGCGGGCCAGGAATTGATTTGTGAACACATTCGCCACAAGTTCCCGGCAAACCCGGTTTTCCAGCTGCACCGGGTAAGCCAATTTCACCTCTGTCACCCTTATGTCCTTTTAGCTGCAAACAAATAATAAGTTATACAAATTATACGTCTACTTATGAAAATGTGATATAATCAGATAATTATAATAATTAATTTTCTATTTGGTTACCCTCTCGATTTCGTTAGGCGACAACCCTTCACCTTTTTCTCCTTTAGGTCCAGTAGCACCCTTTTCCCCTTTGGGTCCCTATAAAGATAAGCATAATGTATGGTACGTTGAAGTAAATTTTACTATTAGTGGCTTATGGCTTGCAAAATATTACCATAGGACCTGGTTTCCCAGGCTCTCCCTTATGGCTTTTACCCGGTGGTCCTATGGGGCCCACTTTTCCATGATGTCCGGATGGCCCTCGAGGTCCTATCTGACCTGGTGCACCACGCTCCCCTTTCGGTCCCTTTTAACAAATAATTATAAAGCCTATCTGAACTTACTATTATCATTACTATTAAATGTTGCTTCTTATTTAAACGAAACTTATATTTTTTGGATTTCTACGTTTTTTATTATTTATAAAAACTACATACTCCCAATTTTAGGACGCTTTGTAGCAGCCGTGATCACCGGCAGACGAGATGTTGTAAAGTAACCGAAACGGCGGGAGTATGTATGTTTTAAAAATAATAAAATACGCGTGGTAATCGGAAAATTATTAGTTTCATTTAAATGAATACTCGCGAAAGTTTTAGATCTCATTATTGTTTCTTACTTTCATGAGACTTATTTGAGATGATGGCACAGTACCAGGAGGACCCGGTGTTCCTGGTTCTCCTTTGTCACCCTTTGTTCCATCTTTGCCAGTTTCTCCTTTATGTCCATGTTTTCCTGGGGGACCCTGAATACCATCTCTGCCAGTTTCACCTCGAGGACCCATTGCACCCGTATCCCCTTTTTCGCCCTAAGGAAATAAATATTTTTAAAAATAATGTTATGTTACCTAATTTATTAGTAAAAATGACCTCAAAATATTTGATTTTATACATAATTCATCAGAAATTTCAAATACATTTTTAAAAATAGTTTGTTTTGAAATATTAATTCTACTTTTTGCTCAATCATTCATAAATTCTATATTAAACTTAATTAATTCTATATTAAACTACAAATACAGAAGCTAAATTCAAGTAATTTATAAAAGGAAATAATATGGTAGTACCTTTGGTCCTTCAGGGCCACTTGCCCCTTTATATCCTCTGAATTTTTCGACGATAGCCTTTTCTGTAATATATAATTTTTAATTGTAGTGCTATATTATACGCAGTTATTAATTTTATATTAGATGTGAACGGTTTTATTAAAAATATTTTTATTTTGAGTAAAATTTAAGTACACGTTAAGAATGATATGTATATTTTGTTGATTTTAAAACAGTGAAACCTAAAAACATAGTTCTGTTCTATCAGTATTTTACATGTAAATAAGTAAGTACCTTCTATAGGATCTATGTCCTCATCTAGTATCGATGATAGTTTTGCAGGTAGCCCCATGAGACCTGGTTCGCCTTTGTCTCCTTTTTCTCCTACATGAACAAAACACATAGTTATTTAATGTTACCAATGTTAAATAATGCACACAGACTTTGTTTTTCTTTTAAATTATTTGCGATCATTTTCAATCACGTGATTTTGTAATGCCCAGTTTCAATTCCACATAATATAATAATGCGTATTTGTGTATCTGGTGCAAGTTGCATTTAATATATTATAAACAATCTCCTCTATATTTAAGTAAATTTTCATAAAGAACTAATATATAGATAGAAACAAATCAATAACTCCAAATATAGTCATTGTATTCATTTAGGTATCTAAGTATACATATTTGATTGCCAGTGTAAAAATTTTCTCATGAGTCTTATTATGGAATGTCTTCACGTGTAAATTGCATAAAGTCAGTTATAAAAAATACATAAATTTATTTTACCTCTAAAACCATCTCTCCCGGGAGTGCCAGGTGGTCCAATTGGTCCTCTTTCTCCTTTTTCTCCAACAACTGGAACTTTTGTCTCTACTATTTCCTGTCAACATACTATCTGATACTCTTTGCTTCAGGATACACAAAAAAACAAGAGGCTTAAATTCGTATCACAGAATTACTTTTATATAAATAAAGTTGTCTTTAGACTGTATTTCACATTTTTTTTCCTATCTCTCCTTTCGTGGTGTAAGTTAAAATTACAGTAATAATCTACATAAAGCAAATTTGAAGACTATGCTTTCATTTCAATACAGACTAACGAAAGTCATATCAGGTCAATATCAGCATTTTTCTCATACTTTGTAAACAAAAAAATAAGAAAAACATGAAATATATAAATGGGTTTTTGTGTATTAACTTGAGTATTTGTGAAAATTACTTCTCAAAATATCATGTAAAGAAATTATTCTATAAAAGTTAATCATTGTCACCTTACGAACAATTCCTGGAGTTCCAGGAGGACCTTGTATACCGGGATCTCCCTTACTACCATCTCTGCCATCTTTTCCTGGTAAACCGCTATCTCCTTTCAATCCTTTTTCACCCTGTATAAACGTACAAATGCAAATTATTACATTTCGAATAGAGGTATAAAATTAAATTTCGTAAGAAAAACAAATATATACATATATTCTATTATTATAATTATTTACACTTACTCTATCGCCTTTCATTCCGTATTCGCCTGGGGGTCCTCTCATTTCTGGCATCTTTAGTAGTAACTCTGATACAACAGCTTCTGAACATTTGCACGACTAGAAAGAAATATATAAATTTATTCAGCTTTTTATATTTTTTGCCACTTACTACTTTTTATTAGAAGTGTGTGCAGTGGAACATTGATTACTAAAACTAACTAGTAATATGTGGGTAGCTAAGAATGATATTTTATAATCAATAAAGAAGATAAAATATTTCAAAAAGTAAACTATTATAAGTTTAGATTGTGAGGGGAAATCTTAACAGAACTTTATATTAAAGTAGTAATTACTTATTTATTGATTTATAACGCTAATATAAATTTACAATTATAACACCAGCGATAAAAACCAATTTGAACATTAAACTACAGTTATTGAAGCATATTTTTACATTTTTATGATTTTTTTATGGATAAAGAATTGATCGTTCATACATAATGTGTTGAACAATACTCAATACGTACCCCCCAACCCTACCGGCTTCGCTGTCAAAGCCTAGCTACGAGACCAGCTAAATCGAAAAAAAATTACTTACTCCCTCTTTTCCCATAGCACCCGGTGTCCCAGGAGCTCCTTCAGGACCAATTGGGCCACGTTCACCTGTGACAGATTCACCTCGTTCACCCTAATAAAAATGGTAACATTTTATTAAGGTACAAAAAGAGTGTGGATGACTAAAAAATGAAAGAAAACAAACCTTGTCTCCTCGATCGCCTTTCTCACCCTTGTCGCCCTTATCGCCTTTTTCACCTTTAACAACACTTTCTTCACTGCTATCTAAATTTAAAATATAGATTTTGTTATTATTATCATTTAGCACGACATTTTTTTAAGATGATAACTAAGTTACCATTTCATGTTTTTTTATGTATATTCTTGTATGTATAATATTTGATGGGACTACAATCTCATCACTTTTTGGTTTCAAAATGTCATAGAATGTTCTAATGTCTTGCTATGAAATAAATCTCAATAATTTCACAAGCACTATTATGGTTATTTGTCAATTTCGTGCCATAGCTGATAAAACAAAGGTCGTGGTCAGGTACAATCCGTCCCCTGGGATACAACGGTTTTACCTGTGTTCGGCAATTTGTGCAAACGTTGTACTGTACTACAATTATTTTAACACACTTTTACATAATATTTACTTTTTATTTTGATTTTGATACGATATTAGATTATGTGTTTGTATAAAATATGAATTAGTCCTTGTTTAAACATATGTAGTTAATTATAATATAACTTACCAAACAGGGAGTCGGTTGGTATTTTTTCGCTTGAATCAAAATCAATAAACTGAAAATGAATGGAAACTTTAATATATCCAATTTAATACAATTCAACAAATATTAGTATATTTAATATTTCACGTAAATCAAGCCAGCATAAAGCAATGAAAAATTAGAAGATTTTTTCTTTTATCTGTTATGTAATCTATTTAGTAAATGTTAAATGATCAGACATACCGTATTCACTTCGAGGTTTTCTGCCTTTGTGAAATCCTAAAACCGGGTTAATTGGTTAATATATTTTAATGTCCCGGAACAAATTAATTTGGTAATTATTGAAGCATGTTATAGAAATGTGTTTATTGTACTCAAATATACATAATATTATGCTAATTGTTAGATATTAAAAGTTAAACATTATTGATGAAAAATTGAAAGACAACTTACATTACTTTCGGTGCTCGGGTTAGCTTTAATCTAGAGAAGAAATTTTACTTTTAAAGATATAAGCACCCACCCGAATATAAAATAAAACAAACAAGATTTTTTGACCAAATACATATATAGTTTCTTATTTAAAATAATTTATGATATACATATATAATGAATAGCGTATTATCTATACAAACGTGTGAGGATACAGTGAAAATACAATAATAGTACAAAAGTATAAATAATTTTATAAAAGAAAATAAAATACATCATTCAATATAAATATTGTAAACAAATAGACCCACACATATTGATAAAACATTCAAAGGCAAATAAAGCATACATTGACAGATAGACATCGATTGGAAACTATAACTTACACTAGCTGGCAGTTTATCCTGCAATATAAGATATATATGTATATAATGTTCATAATGATACAAACATACGACGAGGAATATTCTTAAAAATATTAAATATAATTACTCACATCCGAACAGATACTTCTTCGTCCAATAATATCAGGTTTTGGATATATCACAAGCGTCTGTATCGGAGCCTGGAATGGTAAATACATACTTATTAATAACATATATAATTATGTATAATTAAAAGGATAGAAGTAAAGCAATATGATGTAATAATAAATATTGCTGAAAAATATAGTTGAACTGTGATTTTGAAATCAGTTAATATTGATACGCCTAACCCTCATTTGATAAAAATATCGAAGATATCATGTATTAGAATAATTGTAGTAGAATCAATTTAATTCTAATAACATCGAAACTATAATAAAGATATTGTTGTTGAAATGTACTCTTTTGTTACTTAATTATAAATTCTCACAAAAAATATTTAGTATAATTACCTTATAAGTTACAATTAAACCTATAAAGTTGATAGAATTTTAAACATAGACAAGGAAAACCCTTGAACAGAACAGTATTAACATCACAAGGGTTATCAAGATCACTTAATTAATGATATCACATAATTCTTACTTGAAATTAGTTTAATGACTGCGCAAGTAAAGAAGAGTAAAGGTTGTACATGACTGATATATTACATTTTGATTAATTATTCCAAAAGTATATCTGAATATTCTAAAATCTTATGAAGATACGTAACATTCTAAGATTAAGAAATCTTAAGTTCTGCCATAGTCTGTCTTGTGTAAAATATTTAAGCATTCACAATCACACCCAAGTTTTGAAACAAAGGACGTCCGACTTATAAAGTATATCCTTTGGAAAACTTTCTACTCCAAAATGAACGTAGAATGCAAGAAATTAAAATGGCAACACTTGAAGGTATTCAAACGTCACGCCCATGATGTATTTGCGGAAAATATGAGCGTACTTTTTGCGAAAGTTTCCAGAGCCGCGTGAAATTTACGAGTCTCATTCACAAATTAGGTCGTGCATTCGAAACACATATTTTTTTGACTGAGAACCTTCATGCTTGTATCCAGTAATTATGTGATATATTATTTAAGTTTTGTTCAATTATGATCTTTTGTTATAAAATCGATTACTGAGAGTGTTGGACTAATACATGTACTAACTATCAAGTAATACTAAGTGGTTGAGTCTACTCCGAAACATTTACAACAAAACGGAAGCGTTGCAAAGAAATTGTTTCAGAAAGAATGTTATAATTATTTGTAGCTCGCTAAATATTTAAAAGCTTGGGGTTCGCTTGAGATGAGTCAAAACTTTATTATAACCCTCATATTTTTTGCTCAATAAAAATACCTTGCAAATTTGAATAAGATCCCGTACATCTTCTTTGTGCTCTTTTCTCGGAATTCATCTGACAGTTGTTAAATTTTTTACATATTTATATGTTTTTAGAACCTTTTATAGTCAGGTTTTGAATTTAGTGAGATAAGCAATTTTCTTCTTTTGATTGATATTTGATATTCTATAATCACGTAACAATATTCAAATCAGGTTTTCCTTTGGAAAGTTTGTTATTCAATAAATCTAATTTCAATAAAGATTAAAGATTCCTAGTACTAAGTAGTATTGAAGTTAATTTTGTTTACTTATTTTTGTTAATATTCTTATTCGTTTCATAGTACCTCTTAGGATATGATTATCAAATAGTTATATTTGTTTATAACATGAAAGGTTTAATGTCGCCATCACCCAATTAACACCTAAATTTAATCAAAGTTTTGGGATGCTGAGATGATAGATTTAGTAGTACAAACTATCTCGTTACCTGCGAAACATCTTCAAATACCTAGTTCCTTCAATAACAGATGTCAAGATTTAACTAGATACACCACTATAAATTGAAAGTCAAGTTACAATTTAAACAAAATCTCCGATAGTTGACATTGATAAAATCTTTGCAGAGGCTACAAATAAGCCAAAAAACATATCTTTCTTTTTTGTTTATGTGGATGTATAACTCTTACTTAATATAATCTTGTAAATTACAAGCAATCATAAACTAAAGCCGTCATACCACACCTGCAATGTGGCCGTGCCCTAAAGAGAAACTGGCACATATTTTGATTTAATAACAATTTCACTAAAGTATATGTAACTGTTACTAATTAACATGAGTAATGAAGATTAATGTTCACGTTGGAAAGTTTGTCGATATTATAAAGAATTTACCAGATCTTTTTTAAGAAACTAAAATAAGTGAACAATAAAAAATCTATTTGTTTCAGAATTTTTATATAGATTATCCTCATTTACTTTTATATTTCAATCTTCTTCCGTTGTACATGTTTCAATCATGCGTTCATAATCTGACATAACTTAGAAGAGTAATTGCTCCTGTCTGGACTCACTCCTTATCGACTTACTTGTAAGATCAAATTTCCTTACCTTGGTATAGATATTTTCTCATTTTACGACCTCGACATATTTTTTGGAAACAGAATATCACAAAAAATATATATAAAATAAGTTTAATTAATTAAAATAAATATATAGTGTGAAGTATTCAATTAATATTTTAGGTTATAGAATTAAAGACCAGAAGTACAGTAGTTTTACCAAAAACATTTGAAGTAAATCGTATATATGTATTTTGAAAAGGCATGCCAAGGCACGCTATCGTGTTATTTCGTGCGTAACGTTGGGCTTAAAAGCCGAAAGAGGTTCCATAAAGTCGGATGGAAGGTACATCCTGCTATATTCTTTAAAATCTTCACGTAATGCCAAGTATTTCAGAAATCTACTTAAGCAATGTGAGAGACTACATATCAAGGCGGTGTACGGAGTTATGAAGTTCTTGAATTTCAAGATTATCTTATCTCCAGAAATTATGCAAGTTATATTTTTACAATAAAGATGATTTATAGATTTTTCTCATTTCGTGAGAAAACTTTATGTGATGAGTAATTATATTAGAAAACATTACTTAATTAAGATCTTCACGTTCTCTATTTTATAGATTTAATGCAAAAAATTGTATTCTCTTCGCCTTTGTACTTCCTTTCATAACGGTTCCACAGATTACACGTATACCTAAACGAAAAATTATCCGCATACATACATATATGTTTAAATGCGACGGTCTTCCCATTTACAATATTAATAGGATATAAACAAGTTAATTTTAATAGTTTTGCTGTCACACACGATTCATTACTTCCAAGTTCAAGTTAGAGTATATTGCATCACGTATGAGGTTCTCGAACGTTATATCCGTTATGTCATAACTCTGAAGTTTAGCATTTGCTTCCGTTTTCAACACGAATTTATCTGGTTTTGACACAGCCGTTGCCAACTGCTTCGAAAATGTATTCGAATATTTGACACTTTACAAATAATGCGTTATTTGTTATACAAAGAATTTATTTTTATTAAAAAAACAGAATAAAACACGAATTGGCATCATTCTATTTACATATCAAAGGGAAATTGCACTTAAGTTGATTAAAATGTTATAAAACCTAAATGAAAGTCAAAAAACAATCATAATATTTACTTAGATCCCTTTATATACAAATATATTTTCTCTAATACATATAATCTACCAATATACAATTTATAACTGTCGAAAGCACCTATGAATCTGTTTGATTCAAACTGCGATGGAACTTTAGTAAGTTCGTCGCTAATGTATTTTGGTGTGTCGAGAGCAAATTCTGTTAATCACGTGAATGAACTGTGAAGCTTGTCGGTTTGCTTGAATATGCATTATTGTCAGTTGTGGCTTAAGTTATATAACATTAAATTAGCAATGCATAATAAAATCAGTGTATATATTGCTATACGGCATTTTTTCTTATTGAGTATACTATACTTTCAAAGTATAATATATGTATGTGTACAGTAACATTGTACAATTAAAAATTTATTATATTTTATTCACATCCTAAACTATATTCTCTCTATGATCTTAATTGTTTTTTCGTATATATAATTCAATTTGAAATTCAATAATTTTATGAAGGCATATAGTGGGTTGCAACTAACTCAGTGTGAAATATGAGGAACGTGGGAGATTATGATAAGGCCGTTAGCTCACTAAATCATCGGATTTTCCGGTTGAGAACTGAGGCGAATTTAAGGAGTATTCTAAGAGCGTCTGCATATTCGGACCCTTTTTTTACTATTATCTTTTAAATGTGCCGAATTATTCTACAATCAGGGCAGCCTAAAACACGTCTAGTCGTAAACCGCATCTATTATTATTTAATATTTATGATACTAAAGTATAGTTTTTATGTTACTTATCTTATTTTGCAATATTTCGAAGGACGGGTGCCTAAATGTCGAATATTTTGATTATCATATTCATGTCTTATGCATTGAAAAAAATCCCTGATATCTTAAAAGCATATAGTATTAGTTAATAGTTAAAAAGTATAACAAAGAGAGTATCAATCAACAACAATTTTCTTAACAAACTTCAGCTCACTCTGTTTTCATGTATTCAATTTTTTTATTAAATACATTTAATTTTTTAAGTGAAAAACTTTGTTGTTGGGGTCATATATCTTTGTCCTTTATACAAGTGTTTAAATCCAACACTGCTATGGTAATTAATTAACGTTTGATTATCCCTGTGATAACGTTCTGTCCCACTCAAAGTTTATCTTTTGACTAATCGTGTAAAGTTTTAAGTATCAACCATTCAAGAACTTTGATATTGCGATCTCGGGGTGTTGGTTTGTTTACTAAAAGGTTTGTGAGGTACTGACAAAAGGGTGAGATATCGATTTAAAATAATATATATATAAAAGTTACAAATTAATAATGAAATAATAATATAATAATCGATTAACTAAATCGAAATAAAAAAGAGTAACAATAAAAACAAAATTGTTTTATTATAAATACTTCGTCTCGCTGTTTGTTTCTTATTTATATACATTTCTATTTGTGTACATTTTTAAGAGAAATGTCTTAGAGATAAAATTCTATTACAAGTTTCTATCGAATTTAAATAATATATTACTCGAATAATCGTTATATTTGGTCTCAAAGAAGGACAATTAAAACAAAAAAAATATCACGATATTTAATATAGCAGATTCTAAATAATCCAGTGACGGATTTAAACTCCAGAACTGAAACAATGAACCCTATTTCTTTGATTTCATTGATACAAAACAGCAAGTCTTATTCACAGACTTATTTTTGCAGACTTAAGACTAGACTGGACTAATTAATCAACACGATACTGTAACCTAAAATAGTTTATAACCCAAATCTAGTGGACTGAGACTGTTAGTTGTGATATGCGATTAACGGCACTGTATCGTCATAGTTTATTTTAACGACTGATATTAACATACAATGAAGAATTATATTTTATTTTTAATACGCGTCTATACATTTTTCGTATATATTTTACTCATACTAAAACCATATGATTTAGGGCTCAATTTATGATAGTAAAATATAAGGCAAATTGGCAAAACACTGAAATATATTTATCTAACATATATTTATTTGAACGAGTCACTAATAGCTGTTGGCTCATGTTTTAATGGTAATGACCTATAATAGACCAGTATTTAGTGAATATATAATAATACACTGCTATTTAACGTGTTTTAAGCCACGGCACTATGTAGCTATGTATGTTAGTTATAAACTATGTATTTTGTTGTTGGAATGTTGTTATATGGTCCATACATTTATAAAATCTATTCAATTTCCATTTAAAGTCTGTTTATTGTGGCAACATTTTTAATGGATTGAGATACATATGCTTTATATTTACAAAGATAGAAGAGTAATAAATGTTAGGTTAGTTTAAATCAACTATTCAATTCGAATAGATATAAATAATTAAGTCAGTGGTGGCTCAGTGGTTAAAGGGCCCGCCTCTCGTCGCCGAGGGCGCGGGTTCGATCGTGGCCCGGGCAAGTACCAATGTGATTTTTCCGAATCATATGTACTTTCTAAGAGTAATTAGACATCACTGATTAATGTTGATTCCCAAAAGAGGGTTGATGTCAGGCAGGCGGGCTGGTCGTAAAAACAAATAGCCAAAAACAATTCACAACATGTAAGGCAGACCCTGGCTATATCTGGGAAATTGCCAGGTAGAAGAAGAAGAAGAAAGGTTAACACAAGAAAATACTATAAAACTATGGCAAAAAGTTTGAAATAATTGAAACAACATTTTAAAATAAATATTAAGAGCTACAAATTTCTACGTTTGATATATATAGATTTCTATCAATTATATGAAACAAATAAAAATAGCTGACTAAATAAAGATAAGGTCTTAAGTACTTACCTCAAATAAATTACTTTCTTCGGTCAATTTACCAAAATGTAGTATAGAATCTTTATCGAAATTTATGTTTTCGATGGTATAGTCGGAGTCGAAATATTGGGTTTCAATTTTTTCACAGTTGGAGTAAAATTCCACATTTTTATCATTCACAGCTAAGATTATTTTTACAAATGCATTACGACCTTCTATCAAGTAATGAAAAGATATTCCACTTTCTGGTAGATCGCTACCGTTTAATGTGATTCTAATTAAATCTTCTCCTTCAGGTGTAAAACATAGACTGAGTTTGTTTTCTTTATTTGATACGATTTGAAACAAACAGGACGTGACATCCAAGTCCAATTTCACTAAGGCATATATTTCAAAAGGAGTTGCTAAATGGTCTATTGGATCTGGGAATTGATCCAGTTTAATTGTAATTAATTCGTTTTTTACAAGTTTAATGGCGCCATAAACATCTGTGCCTTTGACTATATCTATAAAATCGGTCATAACATTCGCACGGACTAGACTCAGGATATCGTAGCTATCTGAAAAGAAATATAATGAATTTTAAATGAAACTCAAAAAGAAACTTCAGCAATAACTTAAATTGAGGACCAAAGTACATATATTTATAACAAATAAAATAAACAATGAAAAATTCTAAGCTTGAATTGGAGATTTTGTTTATGAATTAACAAGTGTGAAAAATAATGTAATGGAATTTATGGATAAAAATCATTTCGCAGTAATTAATAACAGTAATAGTGGAGAAGAGATACTACTTAAATATACTATAAAGTTAAAAACCAGATTTATTTGGAAACCAGATTGTTTTTTTTTGTGACTATCATTAGTTTTCTAATTATTTTGTAATTATTCTGGTATAGAAAAATTTATAAATTGCTCACAGTTTGTAGGTACATATATGTATATTTGTCTATGTGTGTGTGTGTGTTCGTGTGTGTGTGTGTGTTTGTGTGGGTGGGTGGGAAATGTAAATGTGGTATCTCAAAAACTTTTAGCCAAATAAACCCCGGACATGTAAGTGAAAATGTAAATCTTTCTTATGATTTTATTTGTTGTAAAGTAAAAAGTTTTCGTAAACAACTTAATGTAAACTATCTGTATTAGAAATATACGTTAACACGAACTTCTTATCTGAAGCTATTTGTCAAAGTGGTAGTAACTAAATTGCTGAATTAGTAACGTCCATCTACTCCATAAATCTTTGTTATACTGGTTTAAATATGATTTATTTAATAAAAAAATATCTTTCATTCGTGATATCAATAAATTTTTAATAATTTTGAGATGTGATAAAATTCAAATAGATATGACAAATTTAGCAATATCTTTTATATAATATTAATTTAGTTAAAGGGAAACGTGTTTTCGTCGGAGTGTTTGCAAAATAGATATTCAACAGTTTAAATATTTAAAAACATATAATTTTGAGGAAAGACAAATTACGGAATGTGTATTATAAACAAATCTTTATTTTAAAGGAGCTATGTTAAATAATCTTGATCGAATAATAATGGCAACAGTCACGGTAGCTTAACACAAGTTCATTTTGTTGTTATAAATTATAGGAAAAACATAGGATGTTGGAAATGATTTAGTTTACTTGAATACTTGATGTTCTTAATACAATGAAAAGACTAATGATAACATTAGTTGAAAAAAAAAACATAAATTTATCAACTAAGTAACGTTTAATAAAATATAAGAGATTATATTAAAAATAACAAACCTGGTTCAGCTATCACCGTGGGGCTAAAGACGCCAAACCATCTGGAAAATAGTATCATTTATAAGTTAATATGTAGCCTGTAATAAAAATTCAAGATAAAATTACATATAACATAATAATTATCCGTGTTGGAATACATGATATAACAAAAAAACGTAACATTAAACTATTTGACTACTATTAAAATTTATATTAATATTTCATTATAGTGAGAGTTAGAAATAAATTTAAGATTTAATACTTATATACATATTAAATAAACAATTTTAGATAACATAGTATATGAAAATATATAGTATTTTAATTCAGAAATAATTATGAAAATATTTAAATGAATTCGTGATAAAAAAGGTGCTTGGTGTCAAACAGATCAAGTGATAAAGTGAGTCTTTAGCCTTTTAGCGGTTTTATTGATGTTTGATCTTGGTTTCTTTTTAATTATTATTGTCATAGATAATAAATTAAATCAGGATTATTAATCAGTTTTATATAATAATTGTGCATAAGATGCTATAGAATGTTTTCTTGTTATACTTATATGTAATATCGGAAATTACAATCAAATTGTAAATTTTGAAAAGTTACATTATTTTTCTCAGTCTATAACGCAATGCAACCTTACTATTATTGATTTATGAGTTATACAGTAAACTCTTGTATAGCTTAAAGAAAACTACGTGAAAATAAAAATAGAATAATAAAATATATATGGAGGTTGTCCTTGTAACTTACTTTATAACTTAAAGAAACAAAAAAGGTTAATCAAAAGAACACAGAATCATGTTTTAGGAATATTTTAAGTATGGAAAAGGTTATTATATTAATAATACGCTGACACTTATCAATATAAAAAATGATATGTCTCATTCAAACATTTAAATAAAATGTCAGTTTAATTATGATGTAGTTTACAATGCTATAATCATCGGTGTAGACAGGGCACGACCACGTCATTTATGAGCATTCTTGAAAATCTTCTATTTTTTTGTGTAGTTCTCTCCTTAAAGAAACAACAAAGACGTATAATTAGTGTACCGACAGCAAAATCCGTTTTTTGAGATTTGGTTTATTTTTTTTTTTTAATTATTATTAAAGGAACAAGCTTCAGAATATGTAATATGTATAACAGATTACATATCCTATAAGGATCACAAATTATAACGTTTAAATTAGATTACTAGCTTATCAAAGCCATTACATACTTGTTCAAGTCTTGTACATAAACATTGCTTTACATATAAATACTACTATTTTGCATACATAACAGGATTATTTAATACTATTTTTATTACATTTTGTTTGAATAACATTATATTTTTTTTTCGAATATTTCATTTTTGTACGATATGATAATGGCCACAAAAATTCGTTTATACATTGCTAAATTTTCTGACGTATTGTAATCTTTTGTTAAGCTCCCCTCAAAGACATACCATGTACAAAGTCACGTAGTGTTAAACGAGATTTGTTGAGTCAACCTTCGTTAATGCAAATATTGGAATGAATAACAAAATCAGTGCCATCTCAAATTACAGCTCCATTTAATTAAGACGTGTCTCGAATATTCGAGTTCTATTTCAAACATCGGGCTTTATAAGCTAAGGTTTGTAGTTCACCAGAATCATGTTTACATTTTTTTTACATAATAAAAGTTATCATATAAGTGTTTTTTCTTAATTAAAACTTTCATATTTTCCCATTAAAAAGTTTATAATTTACTTTTTTTAATTTCAATTTGCTTTTCAATTTTATCTCGTAGATAACCAAAAAAAATAATTTGATATTACATGATAACATTTAGGATATAAGATGTATTTTTGTTTGGAATTTTAGAGAAAGAGCAAGCGAAGAAAAGTAGTAATTTTTGCTTTACAATCTTCTGTAAGAGAGACACATTAAACCGGTTGATCCAGATTTAATTCCGAACTGTAGACCTCTCAATACAACTATCCCCTGCATAATCACACCATAATATAGAATAAAATCGCTTCCCGATATCCCCTGCATTGACGTATGCTTATTCTTTAAAACCTTTCAATAAAATTGATGAGGTTTTTTTCATTTTGATTTATTTTAAGACAATGATTTATAAAGTTTTAACACGTTTATATTATAGTCGATAAAAACTTTTAGTAATTTATAATACGATGCTATAAACTAGCCTCTTCCTTGGCAATTGGCTGAATCATTAGATATGTAACTATATAATATGTATCCTTACATGGAACTACCAAAAAGAGCCATATATATATATATAGGTTTGTATGATATTACTTACTGTATCTTTTTAAATACTTTATTAATGATTACTTCATCATATTCTTTCTCATTACACTATGTAACTTAAATGAATAGGCAAAACATTTTATTTAGTGACGATTTGATTCGAATTCGATTTAGGAACAGAGAGTATAAAGTTTGGGTAAAAATATCAAATATGATAAAAATACATTACCATGGAGTGACACCGGCTATTTACTTTCGTTATTTACTTACGCGAAGACGGGTCTCGTTCCTAGTGTAACATATTATGAATTTTGTGTATTTAAACATAAATAAACAAATTGGCTTCCCTATAATAATAGCAAAAGCATAAGCTTATCACAATTGTATACCTTAAAATATATAAACTGTTTTATTATGCAAAGTTTATAAATGCGGATTGCGTAACCATTTGCTCCAGAAGACATTTTAGTCGTACACGAAATTGCTTTCATGTAAAATTTAATTAGATATTTGTATGAGGTTCGATGAAGGCGTGTATTTCATTAAACTGTGTATAAGTTCTTAGTGAGTGTGAGTGACATTACGTACGTCATGATACTACTGACTGGCAGCGAACCGTACTGGCGATTGTAATAACATGTCTAACACACGCTTGGCAACGTGCTTTTCTAACTTGTAAATCATATTTTAACAGCTTAGTGGTTGGCCAGTGGACTAAATTAGGTCGTAATTAAATTGTATTTCAACTTCAGATTATACTTTACTCGTATAAATCAGTTATAAAGTTTTTATAACACTGTATATTTTTACAAAATAAAATCTGCTTTTCTGTTTTAATTTGTTGTAATCATAATAACTATGCATATACAGTAACAAAGAGTGAAATGAAAATCAATACATGCTAATATTTTTGATTTACACAGTTTAAACATAAAACAAAGTTTCTGTTATGGTATTTGTGAGTGAATAACAATATCATTATTTGATGTGACTAACGTTGATTTATAATTTTAATAGTTTTGAAGGAATAGAGCATAATAATCCGTCTATTTTTTAAAGCTTACTTTTGTATGCCTTACATATAGTCCATAAACACTGAAGCAGCTTCATGCAGCTATGAGTAATAATATTAAATATCTGCGACAATGATGAGTGATAAGAACAAATAATGAACTCATATATATAGAATAGAAATCCGTTGGTGGCCTGGTGCCAATTTTGCATAGTGAAAAGTCTTTGCCAGCAGTTTTGCTACAATGTAATATTTTAAATTAGTAAAATGTTATTAACAAAGATTTCAATGTCTTTTTAATCACTATATATTTTTTACCATAACAGGAATTTTGATTTCAAAATATATAAACGAATAAATATGGTATGTATTTTTAATTACAGTAAAAAAAAATATTCTTTTAAATAAAGTTCTTAAACCCGATGTATGTTTTGCATTTACTATTTGAAAAACATTAATCCTAATTTCTTAGCTTACTCTGTACAAATAAATCATGATTTTTTTTATAATTTAATTCTTTATTATAATGCTTTCAAAAATATGTATAAGTGCAATCGTTGCTGTAATTGTAAAATGATATAGAAAATGTAGGGAACATTTCTTTTGCACTCATATTACACATTTCACTTTGCGAACATCACTTTGATGGTAGTAGGTAGGTCCTTCAGTTAAAAAGTTTTAGAGTACGCGAACTCGTAGAAAGATTGAAAAGAAAGCATAATGCTCTCTGGTACGTCAGAAAGTGGCATGAATGAAAACTGAAATTATACACCAATAGAAATCATTGCTTTGTAAAAACAAAATTTTAATTAAACAAAAATAAAAGTATATAATTGAATTGAGAACCTCCTTGTTTTAAATCGGTTAACAATTTTAATTGATTTGAGCTACTGTTGCATGCAAGCTAAAGTATCATACAAGTTGTAAACAAAAGAAACATGCAATTATCATCCCACAAAGCGTGGGTATTGTTTTATTTAATATACTCGTAGTATTGTTTTAATTATCTCAAACATATATCATATCCCTATATATTCTCGGAGACTAGGCTAAATCGTGCCCGTTGTCTCTGATTTACTGCAGCCATTAAAATTTGTTGTTCATAATATATTAAATTTGTTAGTCAAACTATTTATACTAAATATTTCGAAGATTTTCACTGAAGTAGTAAACATTTAAATAAAATTATATTTTCTATAGCTATTTTTTTATTTCAAGAGAATGACTGTCATCTTGTCGTTCCATTAACTCGGTTACTACGACATTATTAGCTAAAAATAGAAATGGTGACCAGTTTAATCTTCTATTATATTTTCATCCTAAAATATTCGAATTCAATGACCTGTGTCTAAAAGGTTCATGCTATTGCGTCTCAAATGAAGAATTATAAATGATATTTTAAATAATAATCTGACCACGGCACCGTCAGAGGGACTAATTCTAATTAATTTTCTTCTAGCTGATAAAATATGGTATTCTTTCTAGCTGATATAATTTTTTTATCGATAAACTTTAAGAATCGTTACCAAAAATACTCAAAGCGCTTCATAGAATCTGTCATATCACTTTTTGTCATCATGTATTATTCTGAACATTAAACTAATTAACCGGAATATATAAAACTTTACCGTTTTCTTGTTTCCAGCACTTGCTGCGCCAAATAATTTGTAGCTAGGTCACTATTATTCACAGCAAGGAAACTTATAGTCAGCATTTTGCACTTTGTTATTAAAGTTTAATAATTATGGCATGCAACAGAAAACAATATTTTTTAAATCAACAATATTGCATATTTTATCCAAATCAATTACCTACAGCTTTCATTTTCTCACTGTAACTTTCTCATATAAGTAATATATATTTTCCGTTAATTTCGTACCAAATAATATAGGAGCCGATCAGAAAATTGCGACGTAAATCAAGTTTCATCCTCCAATATAATGATTCTGTCACTACTGACATATAATTAAGTACAATAAGCGAATCTTGCTAGTACTTTTCATAAATATGAAGGCAATAACGGAATCCGGTTAATTTCATTACAAAATTCAGTACAAGCCATATTAGTACGTAACTTGAACGTCATAAGTATTTAAATTCTTTACCATATCAGTAGAAATGGCTATTTGTTAAGGATGGCTTACAAGCGAATATTTTATCAAGTTTACATTCATTGCACCGACTTTCATTAGTTTTAAACCAGTTATGAGTTAACGAAAATGTTTCTATACGAAATATATTATATAGTTGATCTCATAAAGATTATTCATCACTTAAAAATAATTTTAAAACTATTACCTTAAGAAATAGTATCCATATGCAAATAGAAATATGTATATATCTATAATTCATAATTCGTAGTCTTTGTATGGGTTTTACATTAATTATAAATTGTAACAGCAATATATATTCCTACTCCTGACATTACATTAGTTCATCTTTTTGATAATAGATGATGTTACTTGTATTCTAAATCACGCTAACGTTATAACTTTATATAGTGAATAAATAACCCAGAATATAATTGTATTGTATCGAGTCACAGGGACCTCGATAGTGGCAAAGATACTGCTTCCACCTGGTTGGGACTGTATTTTGAAAGCTACCGAGAAAAATCACTCTTCTAAGTTCGACTTCCGTTGGCTACTTCCACTGTGTGGGATAGCTCCCTGGTGTCGACGTTAGGGGCCTAGCCGTCTTATTGTAAACCAACCTTCACGTCAAAGCCCTCTGTATTACACTGGTGCCCAACGTGGGGCACGATTGAAAAGGCTTCTGTATTACACTGGCGCCCAACGTGGGGCCTATTGAAAAGGCCTCTGTATTACACTGGCGCCCGAACGTCTGGCCTATTGAAAAGGCCTCTGGATTACACTGGCGCCCGAACGTCTGGCCTATTAAGGACTACCACGACGAACTTATGTGCAGTAGGGAAGAGTTCTTTGACACAAGTGAAGAGCACAATACGACGAGGCAAAGTCTCGGCTACGTTGTCACTAAGTACGGAAGAGTTACTACGACAAAGAAGACCAACCCCTTGACCGATCAACTAACCAAATGACTGTTCAACTAACCAATGAGCAATAATGAACGTACCTCGACCTCGTAATTTGAAGCACTTAATGAGTTTTATACAAATGTGTTCCTGGTACAGGAGGTTCATTCCCGATTTTGCTAAGGTTGCAGAGCCCTTGACGCGTCTCACTAAGATAGACACCAAGTGGACTTGGAACAAAGAACAGACATTTGCATTTGAAACTCTGAGAACCCTGTTAACTACTATTCCTGTACTCGCACAGGCTGACGAGACTAAGCCCTATATCATCAAAACTGATGCTAGCAACTTTGCTATTGGAGCGGTCTTAGTGCAGGGGGAGGGTGAGAATGAACCCCAGTTGAGTACGCTAGTCGATTGTTGAATAAATCTGAACGGAACTATTCAACTACTGAAAGAGAAGCCTTGGCAGTGGTGTGGGCTGTCAATAAATTCAGAGGCTACATAGAAGGAACCAAAAACCACGAGGTAGACCACAGAAGAAGAAGGACAACTAGTTTTCTTCCCTGTCTTTCTCGTCGAGGCGACTTCGTAGACAGAGGGGGAGACTGTAACAGCAATATATATTCCTACTCCTGACATTACATTAGTTCATCTTTTTGATAATAGATGATGTTACTTGTATTCTAAATCACGCTAACGTTATAACTTTATATAGTGAATAAATAACCCAGAATATAATTGTATTGTATCGAGTCACAGGGACCTCGATAGTGGCAAAGATACTGCTTCCACCTGGTTGGGACAGTATTTTGAAAGCTACCGAGAAAAATCACTCTTCTAAGTTCGACTTCCGTTGGCTACTTCCACTGTGTGGGATAGCTCCCTGGTGTCGACGTTAGAGGCCTAGCCGTCTTATTGTAAACCAACCTTCACGTCAAAGCCCTCTGTATTACACTGGTGCCCAACGTGGGGCACGATTGAAAAGGCTTCTGTATTACACTGGCGCCCAACGTGGGGCCTATTGAAAAGGCCTCTGTATTACACTGGCGCCCGAACGTCTGGCCTATTGAAAAGGCCTCTGGATTACAAAATTTAAATAAATTATGTTACGTCGATGTAGTTTATTTGCAATGAGGAATAAATAGCACTGCGTGGGTGAATCATAGACCTAGCAGTGTCGCCACTTTATTTTATATCTTCCTTACTATAAAATGACTGTTTGCGTCGTTTAATACACTTTATTTTTAGCACAACTTGTCGTTTATCTGAATATTTGATTTTGTAAAAAATATAATTAAAAATTACACCAATCTACGATAGTGCACGATTCTTAAATGCTTTAATATTATAAAATAGGTAACTTTTTTAAGTCCTCAAAAATTTTAATGAAATGACCTGATCTGCATATAAATAATCTATAATATGATGACGTAAAATGTCAGAGTAGACGACAGTTTTTTATTTGTTATGTGTCTCCATTTTATACATAATCTGTTCAATCTTGATCTCTTTTAAATAAATTGTTAGACCAACATCAACTTGTGAAGTTTCATTGCTTAGACAGTGTTACTGTTTTTTAGTAACTATTTCTCTGTAGAAAAAACAGTATTTCCAAATAATAATACTATCGTGTAGTAAAAGAGAGCGACATAGAAATACTCAATTTGCATTTACTTTATGATACAGTAACAGGAATTGCATTTGTTCAGATAAAGTCGGCTACTTTAAACGGTTGTCATTTTATTTTATTTCAGTTTCAGAACATATATTGTAGTTTCTCATGTTTTTTTTGTCATAGTTTAAAATCTTTTGTTTATGACCGCATTTCTGCAGTAAAAAAAAACTATCAACTTGTCTTATCATGAGTTAAGATTAATGGGTGTCTTTATTGCTTGCATCACGAATTAAAACTGATGATTGTTTAATTAGTTTTAATGGGAGATTTATAAGGAACGTTAGTAACAGATTTGTTAAAAACGTTACGCCAATTATTATTAGTCTTCTCACTATGACTCATATTACTTTATTAATTTAATGGTCACCTTTATTTCACCGAACAACAGTTGCTATTTTTATATAAAAAGCTTAGTTGCTTCTGAAAATAAATCTTTTAATAGATTAACGTCGTCACTTCACATATTTATTCTTGGTAGTTATTTATAAATATAAAAGCTTCAATACAGAAACTAGAATTAGGGAAAAGAAAAACAATCAACACGAAATTACCACATATAAATAATATATCTAAAGATTACATTTTCTTTTCTTTACCCTTACCCTTACCTGACCTTATCGTTAATACTTAATACTCTGTTGTGATGGAATTCTGAAACGAAAACAGCTAGTACTATTTAGCAACCGGTAAAATGAAGTAAAGACTAGTGTATAATATATATAATTTAACATCTTAACCATACTTCTGTCAGGCCGGTCTTCTTTTTAGGTCATTAAGTGGGCTACCTACAGTTTTTGCCAGTCTACATCCAATTTTTTTATGTTTTTTGACTGCATTTATAATTATTCTTGGAAAATTATTAAAGACTATTTTGTGTAACGTTCCTTCTTTGTATGCAATAAGCCATCTTAATAATTTATTCTGTTGTGACACAAGTCATTACAGTACATCTACTCATTGGACTTACCATTTGATGACATTAACCATTTGAAACTTAATAATTTACACACAAGCTTGTATAAAACATTAAATTGTTTTATAAAGAAAAACTTTATAACAGCTAAGTATGTACACGATATAGAATTATACCATACAGAATTAAATCATCACGTCATAATTAAATTAATACCATACAAATTAATTAATATTAAATTTGAACCATAAATAAAATGGTTGGTGATATTAGATTATTTCATGTATTATCCTTATTCAATGATATAAATCTTTATATTATATTGCACAATATGTTTGTAGTAAACCACAGCATTATCTACTGAAATTAACTTCAATAGGCTTAGTAGTGAAGTGGTAAGCTTGGATTTACGGCCTGGGTGAGATATACGAGCTCCTTGCATTTCGGTTGAACAGCGCTGCATTTGAAAGCTTACCATACAAACGAATAACGTTAGGATTTAAAAAAACATATATTTTATAGTGAATAAATACAAGTTAAAATATGCTCATAAAAATGCGTAAAGTTAGTTTAATCCTTCTAATGCCTCGTATTTTATTATTTTCACATAACGATTGTTATCAAGACGATGATGTTAATATTGAAATAATTCAATAAAACTTTATTCTATTTAATTAATAATTATTAATTAATTTTAACTTCATACAAAGTAGTCACCCTACAATAATACAATGCCTATAATACGATAATTATCACATTCCACTTGAGGCTGTGGAGATGTTGATACAGTATACACTGAGTAATTATTTTAATTGCATCATTATTAAAATTATGTATATTGAATATTTTATCCTCTAACTAGGATATAATTTAAATTATTTTTTTTAAAGTATCGTTTAGTTTAAGTATAATTTGTTAATTTAATTTTGATATAGATAATTAATTAAACTAGATAAATTTTCCTCTTTATTGCGGTTTGATACGGAAGACAGTTTGCCTGTCAATTTTTTGCTTTATAATTAGAACAAACCAAATATTTTATTTATAATATTAGGTTATTAAGTAGGTCATAAAGCAGGAATTCACAATCAATACAGGATATAATAATATTTATTGTATTTAAAAGTAATTGTTATTAAATATATGTACGACTCTATTTAGGCACTAGGGGCCTTCACTTTAAATGATCTTTGGTCTAAATGAAGTAAAAATCGTATCTTTATGTTATATTTTCCTTATAGATCCATATTCTTTTAATTTTATTTAAATAAATGTATCAGTGAATTTTATGGCAGTTTGAAGTATGTGTGGAATTTTAAATACAAATGTCCAGGTAAATAATGATCGGTTATTGAAGAAACATTTTATTTTTCAAGATAAAATGTTACTAGTGTTATAATTTACACTTTTACTGGATTTTTTATACACATGTTCGACTCATTCTGTATAAGAAAATAAACCATTCTCAATATGTAATTTCAAATTCAGTCCTTATTTTCATAGTAAGAGGATTGAAAACAACTTCATTTTTTTTTATTTTCTACACAACAAAAATACAAAATCCAAAAATAGAACCGCATTATTAAGAACATTCATACCTGAGAGTAGGTTATTAAGAAACGATTTTCGTTCTTATCTCGACAGTCGTAAAGTATAAAATTTAAGGACTTGTTCAGTCCTTTTATTATCTCACAATAATTTAAGCGATCCATTTAAAATTTCTTTATTTTGACCAGGTATTATAGAAATTAATTTTAATATTTTTTTAACCTGTATTATTAACGCCCATAAATAAAATGGATTCTAATAAAATTGTTTGGAATGTAAAAAAATGTTGATGAGCTTTGTTATAGAATGCTGGTATAAAGCCCATAAAATATCAAAACTAGATTTGTTTTGGAGCATGCTAACTAAATATTTCACAAATGAAACTTCTATTTATATTGTTTCTTAGCAAACAGATTGAAATCAATATGCCAGCTTAGTTTCAACGAAACGGTAACTTGGAATGTTACATAAATAAATATTTAAGAAGTATGACATAATAGAGCAGGGAATTCCGAACAAACTGTTTCTGATATCTGAAGCTTGAGTCTATGTTAATTTGGTAACAAAAATTATACCTTGTTTGACTTGTTCATATATTAAAATATATTGTCTTATAAATTGACATAATAGATTTATTTCGATATTAATTGGTTAGGTTATTTGTAAAGTTTATCCGTTTTGAATATAAAATTTATTATTAACGACTTTTGTGATTTAAAATTAGCAAGATTGACAGTATTATAATACATATAAGAAGTTTATGTACACGGTAGTAATAAAAAGGTATGTATCTGTTTCAACTTGCAAAATGAATATAAAAAAATATTGAAATATTACTAACAAATACTGCATCACAAATTGTCTTTGTCTTATAAAATAGCCGATTTATTTAAAACAGGCAAATTCAAACAAATATATTAAAATTTCTATGTTTGAATTCATTGTGATCTATATATCCGAAGCTATAGAGTTTCACTTTGATCTTGGCATCCTTAAGTCTAATGTATTAGATCTATAAGTGTCTACGGTAACAAAAATATCGGCGGCAAATCGGGGACATATCGAATAGATCTCTGGAATGTTGCCAGCAGTGGCGCTATCGGAAGCGTCTACAATCGGAGCCAACGAATGCGTGTAATGTTGAAGTCAAATAAGTATTCAATTGTGATTTAAAATTTTATATGAATATTTTAACATTCATAATAATGGTATAAGTTACTACGACTTGCTATTTCAAAAATCGGTTTAAACTTAAAGGAAGATCTATGTAAGTAGAGTTAGGCAA